AGGCTTGTTTATTTATTTGTCACCCATGGGCACAGGCTTTTTGAAGTTTTTTGGGGGTAGTTTGTTTGGAATGCTTCTTAATTTTATGTGCCTAGAAAATTTAGCATCTCCAAGCGCCTCAGTGTGAGAAGGGCCGCTGAGAAAAGCCCTTTGGTTTATTTGTTCTTTAATAGCATTGTGGCTGTCATCTACTGTTGGTGTGTGGTGACAAAGAGCCCTTCTCCCTCCTCTGCACGCTGTTTCGGGGTGCTGTGGTTGAATCCAGCAGCCGCTAGGTGCCAGTGCCGTTTTACATGAGAACAAGCTCGCCGCTGAAGAGAGCCAAAGCCTAGAAAAAAAAGAAAAAAATTATTTCAGGAATTTGGGCAACTTGCCAGTTGTTAAATATAGCATTACTCATCACAGTTGCTCTTCCCTCTCTCGGGCTGCTCTCCTTCGATGTATAGCCATTTGTGCCTTGTGTACGTGCTCAGGAGGCAAGCAAAACTCCACCTTTTTTTTTTTTTTTGTCTTTTTTATCGTGGGACATAAACTAGTATGAACTTGAGAAACTGCTTTGTGTCCGCAGGCTGAGCTGCCTCGCAGAGCTCCTTTGCAAAACTTGACCATGCCGCAACTTTCCTCCTGCACAACATCTTATCCCTCCCGAATTTACCAACAGTATTTGGAGCTGCAGAAGAGATGTTCAATTAGGATCTGACCCGAGGCACTGGGGGGGAAAGGGGAGAATACCTCTGCTGTCTCCAGGCTTTGATGCAGGCTCTTAGGATCTGTCTGATCCTGTGGTTGTCTGGTGCTGTTTGCATGTGTCCCACAGAGGATATTTATGTGCAACCTATCTACAGGTCCACCAGCGGCTACCTGCTTTTTAGCATCTTCACAACTGGGGCTGCATATGCACGAGGCGGGTCTGGGGACCAAGGAACGTCACTCTTCCAGTGTTCCCCTTAACCAGCCCCAAATCTGGGTGTGCATAGTCCTCATGTCCTGCAGGTAGCTGGAGTCAGGCCAGGCCAATTCTCTGGTCATGGAGAGGTGGCAGGGCATCTCCAGGGAGAGAGCAGCCCACCCCAAGCACCCACGGAAGGAGAAGGGTCGGTGAGCAGGGGCTGCCTAAGCCCCCCACTGGCACTTACAAAGGGCAGCTGAGAATTGCAATTTTAGCTGAGACGAATGTTTTGGGAGAACACAACAATTTCCAGTCCTTGAAAGAAAGGGGCATCCCATGAGAGTACCATGAGCAACACCATGGCCAGGCTGAGCTCGAGGCAGCTACGGAACAGCAGTGATTTGTGGTCCCTGACTGGAATGTCACCCTTCAAAAGGTTTATTTTTTTTTCCCCAAAAAAGGAAATCCAGGTAGGTAGGTGATGGGGAGATGAGATGGCCTATGGGCGATTTAGTTGGGCTAGTGGGAAAAGGGAGCCATGCAAGCTCAAAGATAAAGCAGCTCCCCTTGAAAGTCACTGGAGACCTTGTCCCATGGACTTCTAGAAGGGGTTTCAGTGGGACATGGGAGATAGTTTCCAGGTGGGATGTTTCAGGGTCTATCCAGCTCCAAAAGCAGAGTTGTGTAATCCTCACACATGTTTTATTCACGCTTTGCACCTCAGATGTGAGGCCCTGTGCTGTAGAGACCTTTAGGAAAGGGCTGGCTGGAAGAAGGGAGAAGGAAAATGCAGTTTTTGTACCTCCTGCCCTGCAAGCAGCCAAACATGTGGCCATCTGCTGATTTTTCTGGGCATTGATCTTCTCACTTACAGCTCAAACATGTCTTAGACTTGTTTGTGGAGGACGGATATGGTTTTTGGCTTTGTCTTGCTATCCACTGGGAACCCACATCTGTACAAATGGGAAATAATGTTTTTTAAGTTGGGTTGTGGGTTTGAAATTTCTTGAAAAATCATTCTTGCTCTCCAAAATTGATCAGCCAGCTGCTGCTGAGCAAAGAGGGGATCTCAGTTCTCTGAGAGGAGAAACAGTAAAGCACAAATGTGAATTCTGCCATTGCCCTGATTTCAAACGAAATGAAAGCAGGACATCAGGAAAAGCTAATGAGGTAAAATAATAGACCTGGCAGAGCTGCTGTTCTTGCTAAAGCCCAGAATACAGCTGACCTCTTTGTAAGTCTGTAAGAACAATGTCAGGCTATTTTGGCGAAATCTATTTTGGCTTGGTAGGGAGGCCTTTGGTTGAGTGCTGTGTGCTATCAGTAGCAAGGTATCAGATCTTCCCCCCATTTCTTAGGCTCAGGATCTCTCTGGAAAGCTGGAAAACCAGAACCCCTCGTACTGGGTGTGGAAGCAGCGATTACTATTGCTCAGTCATGTAACTATGATGGTCTTCCAAGTAGGAGGTCCTCATCTTCTTAAAATGACCAGGGCTGTAGCTGATTTACCTATCAGTGACCTGGCAACAGGCTCTTCCCAAGGTGGGACCAATTCTTCACGGCCCTAAATGTATCATCCCATCTACCCCCTTATTTTTGCATGTTGCAGTCTCACTATCGATATCGCCTCTGAGACATCTCTGTTGGGGTCAGGTAAGGAACAAATGTGTTACCACTGTAATAAATTTATAGCAAAAGTGATTCCTAAGTGACAGATAAATAAATAATGGCCAAAGAGGTAGTGGGGAAAAAACCCTAACCCCTTGGTTTTTTACTTAAAAGTGCAGAAGTATAACACTGCGGATTTTCTGCTGCGTGTGCATGTAAAGTGTCACCAAAGTGCATGTTGAAAACACTCTCGGCAAGCCGAGCAGCTTGTGACCTTCCCTGTCTGACCTCAAATCGATCCCTACAGAGCAAAGTGTGCTCTTATTTACCATGCACAGGATGACCCTTTCAGATGAAACTTGGGGTATAAAAGGACTGAGGCATGTGTGTTGGTTTAAAAAGTTTTAATGATATTTCAAAGTCCAGTTAATGTCCTTGGATTACTCTACAATTACAGGCTTGCTTCACAGAATTTAATCCTGGTTATAATTTCCTTGTGATGGATGACTGAGATGCCATTTTCACTTCATTCTCTTTAAACATACATGATTGTCCTCCAGTAAATCGATAGTGTGATTTTTTTTTGCTACACTTCATAGTGTTAAAACTCTATACAAATATTGTACTAAGCATACAAAAATAAGTGCTTCATGCACACACTTTTTAATACTGCTTCTTGCCCTTTTCTTTGACATCTTTCTGAACTTATATAAATAGCTGAAAAAACAGACTAAAGTTACTGAACATGGAAACTGAGAAACACTTTCTGCCAACGATAGTCTCTTAGAGAGAGACAGACACGCATGAATATGTTACTCATTGGCAGTCAAACACGACTTAAAGACATAGACAGAAGAGAAAATAAAGCCACAATACCCATAACACTCTCGGTTCTTTTGCCCTCTGTGAACAGGTTTGTCGTTTTCTGCGAAGCCAAGCGTGCCAAACAGCAACCGCAGAGGGCTTGTAATACCTTTAGGATCAACCCTAATGAGCTACTTTATAAATGGAAAGGGTCTAATAGGACCGCAGACTATACAGCTTATGTGTTTTTGTTCCATTCCCAGTGAAACTGAGTCAGCCAAAGCATGAGAATAGAAAACACTTAGCTGCTGGCAGTCAACACCTTGTTACAGACCATCGTGCTTTGTACAGCTTTGGGGATGCATGGGAAAAGCTCCGTTTGAAACGGCTTGTATGGTGCCATGTCTAGACTGGATGAAAAATTTGGTACCAGATCTGTTGAAATCAATGGGCATCATCAACCCGGTTGTAAATTCTCCCCCAAAAAGGGTTTTTTTTGGTCCTAGACTGAGCAGATTCAAATTTTCTTAGTGTGCATTACTGTAGAGGATATATTATATAGGGTTAACATGTCTGCTGTAGTGACCTAACACTGTGTTTCTCCTATATCTCTAGAGCATCGTTACTCCTGCCTCAATCTGATGGCAAAAACAAATGGATAATGCCCTCCTGCTGTAAACAAAAGGATGCTCTCATCATCCCCAAAGCATTCAAACACAACACCAACACCGGTGCCCTCTAAAACAAGAGGCACCTTTACTATTGACATGAACCCTCTTCCACTAAACTAGTTTTTGCAAGAATCGCAGCAGCCAGCAGCCTTGCTTTAATGTGTAAAGCAGCATTGATAGCCAGGCAGGGCTCTTTCCATCCCATCAAAAAGGTTCCTTGTATATAGTTTCATTCCTGTAGAGGTCCTTGTTATTACTGGGCCGTGGCTGTGAGCTCTTGTGCTCTAATTAAGTAGAGAATTGGCTCTAATGAATAGCACTTTCCTGGCCCTCAACCTTAATAGTCCTAAAAGTTTTCCTGTCTTTCACTGAATGTGCCATTTGCTGGGAGGTGGAAAAAAATACGCTATTATTTGCTGTTTTGTGACTTGTAGGTATGGCTGGGAAGTAGCAAAGTAAGAGGGAAAACTCTGCTGAATGCTTGCCTCCTGATATAAAAATCAAATTAGTGTTCAAGAGCGTGCAAACTAGCCTGTTAGGCTGGGCAGACACATCTACGATAAATGCCTTTTTTCCTTGCCTGTGCCAGAATGAATTTAAAAGCCGCTTGAGATGCCTGAACGCATCCCCACAGCGCTGGTTGGCACGGGATGCTCAGGGGCAGTAAAAGGCAAACCGGAGACCTCTGCATGGCCCAAGGGCAGCCTTTCATTTCACCCGCTGCTCTGCCTGGCTTGAGAAGTTTTGGGGTGAATGGAGGAGAACTCCTGATGCACAAAGGGGATTGCTGGAGCCACCCCATCCTTCCCCAGTCCCATGTCACAATGTCCACAGGACCAACTGTTTTTAGCACAGGTTGTTGCTTGTAAACACACATACAATGGTGTGTATGTATATATACATATATATACACACATATGTATATCCACACACCTGAGAACCACTCATTTTCTGGGCTGAGATTTTTCTTTCTAGTGTGAAAATCTGATATTGAGCAATTTTTTTTTCTTTCATTTCTCCTTTCCCCCCTACTATCCTGTTACGAAACTAAAGAACTACAAGAATGAAACTCCAACTAAAATCTAACTTTAGGCAACAGATTAGTTTAAAATCATGAGGGTGTAAGAATTACCAGACTGAGATTTTTTTTTTTTTCCTGCCTGTGCTCAATTTAAGGGAACTTCATTAAAGACAGGATTAAAATGCTCCGTAGCCATCACTGCGTGCAGCAACTGCGAAGGCGGGGTAGGCTTCGTAGGCTGCGTACGTCGCTAAATCTTGTCCCATAGTCACTGCTTGTTTGAGCTGAGTGGCTGTGACGGTTGCGGCTGCGTTAGCAATGGTATATCCTGCAGGGGAAAGGAGGGAAAAAAATGCAGATTAATGAAAAGATGTTCAAAACTCACCATCACCTGATAATTTTTGATGGGAAGACTTTGCTGTCTTGGGAATGATTCATGGGAATGATGTAGGGAGCAATGAGTTTGTGAATGGGAATAATCTAATTAAATTAAATAGGTCATTTCTGGCATGTTTTTTCTCCATGTTAAAGGTAATAAAAGAAGCTGGAAAATTAATGCATTTGCTCACCTATTATGTGTTAAACGTTCTGCTTGAAAAATGCCCCTCTCTGTTGAATATTTTTTCCTTAGGCTTCGATTATTTCTGAGCTAAGAGGGTGTTAATGGTGCTCTGTACACGTCCTCCCACGCATGGCATGGGTAGGACAAGAAAATGGAGTAATATAGGGGAAACCTGGTCTGGTTTCATAGAGAAAATGTGGCTCTGATACCCTTCACAATCAAAATACATGCAATTCAGGACAGCCATGTTAGAGAGGAGGGAAACTCCCTCTAGGCAATATCAGGGAGAAAATATTTAGTAAACTGGATTTTTTTTTTTTCCCCATCAGTTTCTAATGGAAAATGTGGTTTCAACACTTCAAAATTTTCCACGGGAAAATGTTAGCTTTGCTGATTTAAAATGAATCACTGGGAAAACAAACCTCATTTGGGGCTGGTTTTTCTGAAAGCAGGGTATAGCATCTTGTTGACCAGACCACAATATTTTGTTGTGAAAGAATCAGGAATGAAGACAAAGCCCAAATTTGGGAAGAGCAGCTGGGGTACCCATTGGCTCTGCTGGACCAGGCTCTGCTGCCAGCCTACATCTCCCAGGCTCCAAAATCTCCGACCGACCAGCTGGGCAATGGGATCAACTCAAGGTCAGTCACAGCCAAGGTCCTGTGGGGGAGTGGAGATATTGGGCAACTCTGAGAGCACTTTACCTTGTTGAAGGTGTTACCTTACAGGAAAACATGAGAAATTTGCTATAATTTGAGTATCGTAGCTGCTCCAAGTATCTTCTTCGCGTCAGCAAAGCAAGGTGCAACATTGAATAGGAATTGAGAAATGTGTCATTTAAAGCATGTCTGCCACCATCATAAGAGAAATGAGCTGCTACCTGGGCATGGCCCGAGCTGAGCTGGGCTTCAGCAAGACCTGATCAAGGACCAGTGTGTGTTGCAAGCAGAAGCTTTAATGTATGTCAATTTGTTGAGTTTCCAAGACAAATAAATAAGGGTGGATGAAAGAAAAAGGAGAGATTATAATTAAGCAGTAAGTGGAGACTGGATTCAATAAAGAGCCCATTTGGTTTCCATGCTGCGGAAGCCTGCACAAACCCAGACAAATTGATTTTTCTGTGGCTTTTGCGGACTCCTGTGGCAGGAAGCCGGATAGATTTTTTTTTTTTTTTTTTTTTTTAAAATCCATCCTTGAGACACTCCAAACAACTCAGTAGTACTGACTAATGCATTCCTCATGTGCAGTTTGGCATGCTTTGCTCCCACTACATCAGAATAATGGTCATGCTGGAGAGCACAGTAAATGTAATGCCTGCGAGCTGGATTCCTGCTCCCAGCCTGTGTTTCCCAAGCTGTTTTGGGTAGTTGCAAGAGCTGTTGAGTATGAATTCCCAAACTGGATAAAAAAAAACTTCCAGTGGGGGTGTGAGAGCTGGGATCAGATCCTAGATTTTACAGTTGAGTAATTCCTTTGGCAGATGAAATCCAAAGTGTTGGTTCAAAAGGAGCTGGGGGTGCTGGGGAAGACGGATGGACTGAGAATCAATCAACCATGCAATTTTGCAGTGAGGAATTTCTACTCCATCCTGGGTGGCATCAGCCAGATCGTAGCCAGCAGGTCCAGGGAGGGGACTCATCCCAGATCTGACACTGGGGATGCCAATTCTGTATCCTGCATCCTATCAGGGCTCCCAGTTGAAGGGAGGCATCCACAAACTGGAAGGAGTGGAGGGGTGGCGCATATCTGGGATGGGGCCCTGAGCAGTGAGGGGATCCCCATCCTTGGACACAGCCCCAACTCGCCTGGACGCAGCCCCAAGCAACCTGTTGTATCTGCAGCATTGACCCTGCTGGGAACAGGGTTGGACCAGAGACCCCTCCCACTCTGGTGCCTCAGCCTGAGTTGCTCTGTGGTACGTACAGCGTAATTTGGGTAGTCCTGACATAGAGGTAGATTACTATATAAGCAACAAAGATGTCATACACATAAGTAACATGAGACAAGATAGACGCGCGTGGGGGAGCACAGCCAGGTCTGTCCTCAGTGGCCAAAAACCGGTTCATTCTTGACATCCACAAGGAAGCAGCAGGAAAACTAATATTCCAGGAGACCTTTTGCTGTACAGACCTTCCCATACCTGGAAAAGCTGGTGCTGCAGGAGGCACCTCGGCTCCCTCCGTGGGAATCCCCAGTGTCTGAAGGGTGTATTCTGCTGCGTAGGTTTTGGCTTCATCGATATAGGCACTGAGCTTGGGTGGTGTGAAGGGATGTCTGTGAGTACAGCAAAATGTTAGCTTGGGTTTTTTTTCTTTTCTCTAGGACTTTCCTGCAAGATGTTTTGATCCACTCATAGATGGCACCATCCCACATATCGAATGGAAACATTATTTTACTGTGCTGCTGCATTAACAACAGTACTCTCCTTGTAGCAGCCTGGTTTCATTTGCTGAGTTTATCGGCCCTGGGTCTCATTTCGGACACAACATCCTTTCAGAGCATGTTGTGCATTTTCAATCCAACAGAAAGCCTGCTGCAGTCTGGGTTTTTCTTTAAAATACACAGCAAACAATGTTTTAGGTCAGAAATGTTTAGAATCATATTTGGAGCTGAATTATCAGCGTGTTCTTTCAAGCTGCTTTCTTTTTCCCACAAGATGTAATGTAAGCTTTATTTTTGTACTAAAAAGCACCCTTTTGCCTAATTATTTCTGGCTTTCTGTAGTCTTTGCACCACCAGAGAGAGAGCACCAAGCATGGCAGACATCACTATCAGTCTACTTTAGTTTGTGGATATTTTTCTCCATAATATATATTTTTTTAAAAAAAGGAAATAGAGACCTGTGCAACTGTATTTTGAAGAGAGATGCTAGATGAAATGCCATTTAAAAAAGAAAAATCCTGAAACCCAGAAAACCTCAAATATTTACGTACATGGTGGGGTTCTGGCTGGCGAGGGCAGGGATGGTGATTTTGTACAGGAAGAGCTGTCTTTGGTCTTGGCCAATTGCAGAGTGGAGCTGGTAAACAGGCTGTCCCCAGTTGTTTTTATGGCAGATTTCTTCTAAGATCTAGAAGGGAGAAAAGGGATTTTTGCTCAGGTTAATTGCTCCAGCCCTGCGCTGGTCAGCTTCCTTCCCTCCAAAGGGTTTTCAGGGGTATTGTGGCAGATTCCTCAAGGCTTAGCAAAAAAAAAAAAAAGAAAAGGTAGACGGGATACTACATTCACCTTGAAGTATAAGATTCATCTGAACGTTTTATACTTCAAAAATCCATTTAATTCCTGAAGTTAATTATTACCCCGTTAAATTGGACATCTTTGTCCTTTTGCTGATTAGCTGTTTTATTCTGGTATCGGTGTGGTTTTCTTTGAATTCTCCCCAGAAGCTCTATCTGTTTAACAGTGCTAAAACACTAGGGTTGCATTCATCTTCACTGCTCTGTTGCCTCCCTGGTTTAATGGGTTGCAGTGCATGAAAAGTCCGAATAGTCTTTTTTTTTTTTAAAAAAAAAAAAAAAAAGAAAGAAGGCTGTGTTTCCATCCAATTAATTATACAGGCTTCAGCAAGCTATTTCTACTTGTAGTTTGAAAGAGAAATGCTGAACCATGTTGCCCCAGCCTTAGCACTGCTTATTCCATGGTAATTGGGAATCGCTGTCCGGAAATGCTCTTGCTTTAGCTTTGTATTTCTTTTTTTTTTTTACCCACTGGGTATGTGCTGTCCCAAATGGGTTGGAACACAGCGTGGTGTTCCCATGCTTCCCTGTGAGCGGTGCTCGGACCAATTGTTTTTTTCAAGTAGCTCCACCAGACCTGACACTCAGCTGAGATGTTGAGTCTTGGGGCTTTGCAAGGTTGGTCACGCTGCCAGCTAGGTCAGACCAGAGACCCCAGGTGCCTCCAACCTGCATCTTTCTGTGGTCTACCATATTTAAAATTAACACTTAATTCTATTTAAAATTAAAATGTAAAATTTAAATGTCAGTGTGGCTTTTAATTTTCTAATTGTAGCACCAACTGAAGTTTAGCACTTTGTAGTGTAAGCAAACTAGTTTATTACATTTCTTGACTATGGCAACACTTGTTCCCTGCTGTCCCAGTGCCTTTATACGGATGTTGGTTTTATAATGTTACATCAATATTTAAATCCTCAATAAGGCAGATCTACTTATTAACACTGAGCATCCCAGCTAGGCAGTGGGAACGAAGTCCATCATTCAAAGATGCTGTTGAAATGGTCCCATTGCAGCGGATGGGAGCGGCTGACCAAGTTGACAGGTATAAATGAGGCTGTCCTGTTAATGAGGCTGTTGTGAAGCAAGCTGTAGCTGTTTAAGACCTACTGTTGTGCAATAGTAGCAGTGGCGGGATTAGGGAGCTCAGCTGCTGGGAAAACATGCCCCAAAAAACTAGTGTTGCAAATGCCTGGTGTTGTTACTGCACTATTTGAAATACACGCAGTGGGGGTTTGGCATGCATGGGAAGAGGAAAAAATTAATTTCATGTGCCCTAAGGCAGTGCAGCACCACTCAGGATATTTCACCCCTCTTATATGCTGATAAAATAGAGTAAGGGGACTATGAAATTTTGCAGGGGTTGGAGGGGAACCCACTCTCCAGTTTTCTGGGGGAGAAAAGGATGTTTTCATAGACTTTGGCAAACCGGATGCTGTGGCAAGTGAAGTGTTAATAGGCAAAGAGGTGCTTCAAAATTCAGGGTGAAGTTAGTTTCTGATGTTGCTTTCAATGATGTAAGGGGAAAGGAGTTGCTGTAAGAGCCAGATCCTCAGAAACTTGGGGAATTTGTTATGGGTTTGTTGTCCTCAGCCCTCATCCATCCATCTGGATCCCAGTCCTGCACACACAACCACATCAAAAGCCTTCTTGAGCAAGCAGAGTTTCTGTGCCCCAAGCGATGCACCCTGTTTATCAAACCCATTTTGGGTGAGAATTTCTTTGCCTTCTGTGCTTTTATTGGAGTGACAGCCATAGCTGGATTTAGTTTTCCACCCATGGGTTTCTGTGAAAACTCTCCTCCAAGGGAGAGTGGATGCCATTCTGCAGTGAGGCGGATGGGTACTGCAAGATGCAACTAGTGGTATTTTATTTTCTGTTATGTCTTTTGAGATGCAAGAATGGATTTAGTTATCAGTCCCCAGTGCAGATTCAAGCAGGGGGCCGTTTTCCCAAAAACATTTTGGGCAAAGATAACCTCTGGCTGGGATATTGACTCTCTTTTTCGCGCACGTACCTGAGGAGCGAGTTTGATCCCTTGGGGCTTTAGCGTGACGTGGTTCATCGGCGTGAGCTCCATTCCTGGCAAGAGGTCGTAGAGTTTATCCTCTCCCCTCTTTTCTCCTTTGAGCTGGTATCCGCGCCCCAGGCCCGTGTACGCCAGGTAGCCGCGACCTCCCAGTCCTCTAACTCCCGCAGCCCCTACAGGTACATTCATGTAAATTTCTAGGAATGTAAGAAGGCATTAAACTGAATCAAATCACCGGAAAAAATTACCCTGATTCTTGCTGAAATGGAAAAGTTAGCCCCATTTGCCGGGTTTGGGAAGAAGATGGGCAGGAGCCCCCCCCATAACCTGTTGCTGGGATAACCCAGGCTCAACATTGACACCCTTTCTTTTTGAGCTTGTATGCCTGGATGAGTGAGGTCTTTTGGGGGAAGCCCTGCTTCTTTATGACCCAGTTTCCATCTTCTCTGGTCAGTTTTGACTTCGTGACACCTTTGTAACTGGATTTGTAGTTGAAAGGCAGAGAGGGGGCAGCTGGTACCATTTGCTAGACACCAAAGTAATTTCACTTTCTTGAAGAGTTCAGAGTTTATACAATTCCCTGGTTATATGAACCAAATTCCTCTTCTTTTTCCCCCATTACACTTCATTTTTGCTTGGGGAGCCCTACTTGGGAGTCTGGGGAGACTGCAAGGCAAGAGAGGTCTGGTGGGTTACCACATCTGCACCTTTCCCAATGCAACTTTCATAGAAGCTGGTCTCACCTGTGCAGGCAAAAACATGGGGGGCAGCAGGGGAAATTTTTTCTTCCCGTCCACTTCCTTGGGAAGAGGGAAAAATTGGCTGGTGCAGGCCTTGCCAGACCTACTGGGGTGCCACGCGGGGTCCCAGCCTGCTGTGGGACCTGGCCACGGGCTTGGTGAGACAAGCTGACTGCCACAGGTGACATCTTTGGAAGGAAGATCAAATGGGCAGATTTTTTTTTTTTTTTTTGCTAGCCCCCAAGCTTACTTCTGCACTTACCAAATGATGCTTGCAAAGATATTTAATAGGGGGGTACCTGAGCATGGGGATTTGATTTGGTCCCAGGTGTGGTCACCCAGGATCAAAGGCAAAGCCTCAGCAGCTTTCAAAAATACCCTCTGTTTTCACAGGCCGCTTATTATTAGGTTAATGATCCCCCAGAGAAGGAGTCCATCTCCTAGAGCACGCAGTTAATGGCTTGCTTGATTTCAGTGCTGGTCCCCCACCCTGCATCAGGGCAATGTGACCTCCCTGGGAAACACCATGGCTTTGGGTCGGAAAACACCAAGACTGGTAAAACTTTCCCTGTGACCTTCAAAGCAAAGAGGAAACACAGCGGAGAGCTGTGCTAGTGGCTGGTTCAGGGAGTTGGCTCTGAGGAGGGGAAAGGAAAATTGTTTTATTTGGTCTTCCCTGCTGGGGCAAAACCAGGAGGATTTGTGGTTTCTTTACGCTGGATGTAGGGCAATCTGGAAGCTGTTTCAGGCTTGCTCTGGGAAAATGGTTATTTTTTTCATGACCTGCTTAGTCTGCTGGAAGATTACTATGTCTTTGAGAAGGACAGAGATGAAAAACTGTGTTTTTTGTCCTTCTCTGAAAGGGGTCCAGCATCCAGGGCAAAGCCAACGCCCTCGACACAAGTCTAGGGAGCAGCCACCCAAACCCCGCAGGAGTTATTTTGATAAAGCCGAGTATTGGCGTGATGGGAGTTACCTCGGATGGACGGGGGCCGGATGATGCTCCTGTTGCTAAGCCCCTTGGCAGCAGGGAAGTGGAGGTTGGGGATAGCCGCATAGGCTTGGGGTGCGTAGAAAACCGGGGCACCCAGGTAGGTGGTGGCAGGGTCATACACATGTCCGAAGGCGTAGGTGTATTCTCCTTGCAGCATGGTACCTCTGCCGCCTGTGCCCCGGGTGTATCTGACGTAGCTGTCTTTGTCAACGGGTTTGGCTAACGTCACCTCAATCGGGGACCCATCCAGCACCTTCACGCCGGGGTGGTGGGGAGAGAGAGCACGGGAGAAGCACAAGCGTAAGTCTCCAAAGTGCACGGGGATTATCCTGCCTAGGGAGGCAGTGTCTCCACATGGTTTGCTAATGGGATGTGAAGATGGAGAAAACCACCCAAAAAAAGCCAAAATCTCCCTCCCACAGGTGGAAGAAGGCACTGGCTGGGTGAAGGCTTAATGTGTTGAGAGCACCCATCCCTGACCCCTGCCAGGAGAGGCTCCTTAGCTGAATTAGCACAGTTGTGAAGGCTTCAAAAGGCTTTGCTTCCCTGCAAAGTAGCATGTAAGTCAGTGAGATTATACGTGCTCCTGTGGAGAATAGCAGTAGCACTAAAAATAGGAGCAGGGTTAACACCTCTTTGGGAACAGCTCTTGCATTACAGCACTGTGAATTACATGCAGTGCAAGAAGTACTAAATACAGCAACCTCCTTGCAAATCCGCATCTGAATTTGGAGCAGATGTTTTGGGTTGACCTTGTTTGTCCCGGTTTGCCATTCACACACTACCCTGCGAGTGTTTTTGTTGGCAGACGTGGAACAAGGATGTGAGCATGAGCCAAGGGAACCATAACCCCTCGTTTGCTAGTCCTCATTTTGGCTTTGCTCGGCTTTTTTTTTTTTTTTTTTCTGAGGAGTGAACTATAGTCTGAGCTGGGCAAACATTTAGCACAAATGCAAGGAGCAAGAAGCCAAAAATGAACAGTTTGTGCACATCAGGCTTGCTGAAAAACAAATTCAGGAGTATAAAAGCAGCCTGAGAAAAGAAAATAGGGCTAACACCTTCAGGATATTTTTGTAGCTAATAAACCAGGCAGCTTTGATTCAGCTGTGTATAAGGTACCACATATAAGCCCCACGAATTAGCATTTACAGCAGCTTTACCTTCCCATTCAAGGCTTTCATAGCTTCAACTGCATCTTCTCTTTTATTGAAGTGCACAAAGGCATAGTCTCTAATTTTCTTTACTCTCTCTACTGCACCTGCAGAAAATGTCAGAATATTAGTTGGAAATTGGTATTAGTTAGAAAATACAGAGCTGAAAGAGCAACTGTGTTGGGTTATGAGCCCTTGGAGAGCAAAGGCTGACCAAGGGTAAAAAAGCTAGAGGACAGTATCTTCTTACCTCCTAGGATGCATATACGTCCCCCTTTAGGATGGGAAAATAAATATAAAGGCTGTAGTATTTAAAGAAAAACTAGAAATACTTGGGGTCAGGCACCAGTAGGTTTCCCATTACAGTGGAGTGGTTTTCTCCTGTCCAAAATGCTCTGTTGGACGCTGCCTTTGGTCTTGTGTCTCCCTTCTGTTACAGACCACTGAGACCTGGATGGCTGAGCAGGACATGCAACAGCCCAGGATTTCATGAGCTACAGGTAACGTCACTGTGTGGTCATCATCTCCATGGTTTTGTGTGTGCATCATACATGCTACTCAGAGGCAGCTTCAGGGAAGCTGATGCTTCTGCTGTAAAACAAGGAGACTCTTCTCTTAACCATCAACTCAGGACGTTCAGCAAGGACAAACACCAAGTCCTGTCTGGGACAGAGCAGCCCCAAGCATAGGGATGGGCTGGGACCAATGGAGCAGCAGGTCCGGCCCTAAGAAACAGCCTTTCCCATGCGAGTGGGACACCCCTGGGACAGGGCCCCAGGTGGTGGGTGATCCCCATCCCTAGGGATGCCCTAATTTGCCTGGACACAGTCCCAATCAGCCTGCTGCAGCTGTGGCGTTGGCCCTGCTGGGAGCAGCATTGAGCTGGAGACCCTCATCCTGGAGCCTCCAGCCTGAATCTTTCTACACCTCTGTGGTTACCCACAAAAATTCAAATGTAAATGGCTTCTTGTTCTTCTTTTCTATGTCCATACTCTACAGCTTTCCCTTGTCAGCTGTTCTGCTACTGGGAACTTCTTGGCACTGAGATACTCAGCACTAATAAGTTTGTCTCCAAAATAACGACACCAGTCCTATTCCCCGCGGTTGCAAGCTTTAGACATCTACCTTTTCTTCTCTAATTGTTCATCTTCCCTACTCCTGTGGGTTGGGAAGCACATCATTAACCAGCCCAGCCACTGAGACTGTAACACCCCCAAAGATATCCTTTGGAAATATGGCTAAGGGATGCTGAACGACTCTTCTGTTGGCTTCTTACCCTTTAAAGCTGAACAGGTGCACAGGGAAATGTCATACTGCTGCAAAAAGCACATACTTAAATAACTGCAGGAGAAAAATGTATTTCTTCAGAGTTCAGGGGGAGTCATTAGGAGCTCCAGCGGGCTAAATAAAGCCTGTCCCAGCCTAGAACCTGAGCAGCCTGCACGTCTTCAAAATGACACCGGAATGGTAAGTAGCACTTTGTGTCCTTCTGGGATTGGAGGGTGATTCTCTAAGCCCAAAGTTATGGGAGTTATATGCTGATGCCTTGTTTACAAGTCAAGGCTTTAATGAACATTCTGTGTTCTGAAAAATCCCCCTTCTGCCTCCTTGAGAGTGCTCTGTCTTACTGATCCTCGCTCGAGCCCAAAATCTTGCTCTTCCCCGCTTCTGTCTCTGCTGGGGCAGAGCAATGTGATACCCACCCTCGGGTCATCTCCATGGAGAGGCTGTCCGTGTGATGTTACAGGGGGGATATTGTCCCCTTCAGTACATTTGGAAAGCACAACCTTCCTGCTGGAAACTTTGCCAGGGATGAGGATTTTTGCCAAAATCTCTAGGTAGTGAGGGTAGGGCTTTTCAGTGAGACAAGTGATGCAGATCTCTATAGAAGTCATCCAGCACTGAATTTGGCACAGATTTAAGGGGTGATGCTTGTACTATATTATGACTTGAGATGCATAAGAAGCATTCCTGGTAGTGTCTATGGAGCCTGTAGCGATGTGGCGATTGATCTGTCACGGGGACCTCTGGATCGTAACTCCTTTTGTTAGGATCATTTTTTATTGGATGACTTGTTATTGTCAAAACAGCTTCTTAATGCCCTGGATCAAATTGTACACTTCAGGCAAGCAGAGTACTGAAATGCGGCACAATGAATAAGACAGATAACTAAAGCGGGGGGAAGTGAATCATTTCAGATCATTGCTGATGTTTTTGATTGTAATCTCACTATAATTTAAATTGCATTTGCTCTTCCCGAAGCTCAAGCTTTGCTGCTCTGATGCACATTTTTTTTTTGAAAGCATGGCACAGC